TTGCTCCCAATGACACGATATAAGAGGATTTAGCGATTTTTGATGGAATTTATTTTCTATTCCTGAAATAGAAATGTGTTTATGAGCTTAAACTGGGAGAATGTTGAAAAGTTTGAGTTTTAAAAACGGTCAAAGTGAGGTAGATAAATCAATGGTATATTGTATAACATAAACCTCCAACATCTATTGTTACCGCTTTAAACCTTTGAGTACCGTCATTATAGACACAATTAACTCGTCGAGTACCGTCATTATAGACACAATTATAGAACAATAGGTTGCGGTCACCGGTGACCGCTTGGTGTTTGACAGTTTAAAGAACAATAGGTGTGCGGACACCGGTGTCCTCGCGGTGTTTGACAGTTTAAAAAATGTAAAATAATACCAGATACAGACAAAAAAGCAAAATTCAGTAAAGACTATGACAATTCGTATCCAAAACTCAAGGAAGTTGAACCTAATGACTACTTTTTGCATATGAAACTGGTTAAATGAGAGTTTGATAACACTAAACCCGTATCACTAGGCGTTTATATGTATATTAAAGCAAGTGTAAATAGCTATTGAGACCTCGGTTACACAATTACTTGCACAAAGTTTCCTGGTTTTATAGAAAAAAAGACAAATTTTTTGCGGCTAAGACGACATGACCATGATGCGGTTCCAAAAAACCTATGATGATCCTCAAATATTTAGTTTCCAATCCAGGTTAACACAAAGACTCAAGTAACTATTGAGTGTAAAATAAAGATTAAGATACAAATACGAAGATATTTACTGGTCTACTGGACAAATAGCATAGATATCGGTGTTAAGGTCACTGCGACCCGGAGTAGAGGTCGCGGGGTTGTCAATACATATTCTTTTATTTATATAATATGCCTTATAATCTGAGAAAAGTTGACAGAGGTGCTTAGATTTGTATATAACCGTTAATTTTGACCAGTTATGTTTACATGTCCCATGTCATTTACAAGTCACTATTCACCAAGAGGAATTTTGAACTCCGTCGAACCCATTACAACCTTGGAAAAACAAAGAACTGACAGAACTGTTCTCGATCTTGCAATTGAATCAGAAACTGCCAAGCTCTAGCTTGCCTGACTTACCTCATTTCACTCATTTTAGTTGTATTTCTATAGGTATCAAAATAATTCATTTGTTCACGAGTTTAAGCGTGATAGATGAATGAACTTAAAAAGATAAGTCGCCAGTTGTTTTCAGATTTGGCGAGTTTAACGCAAACATTGCGTTATCAGGTCATATCAATGAAAATAAAACTAGATTAAAGAAGGTAGTTACAAATGACGGAGTTTTTAATTAGCTTCGGTATAGTCTTGAATTCAATGGAGACTAACAATAGATTAATGATATTTGTACACGAATTAGGGACGTGTAAAGAAGTTTAAATGATAAATGTAATTAAACTTTGGTATGCCTAAATTGCAATGACTTTTGGGGGATCTTCAAAGAAGTACTAAAGTTTAACTTTTAGGTGATGCAGAAGTGAATGTTAATCCAATCACAATAGAAAACATTAAAGAAACTTAACAGCAGTAACTAAACAGTATTGATTATAACTGATTACTAAATGAAGGTAAGACTGTCGATCGATTGACGGCCATCGAGCAAAAAACTGTCAATAACACAACTGCATTGCACCATTTTAAATTACTGCTCGATCTATAATTAGATTGACGTATTGGTCATGCTATGGTTATAGAGAATTATAAAGGACATTATTAATATTTGACTTATTTAAACTGAATGAGAGGTTAAGGCATCAATGAAAACATATTTTAAGTATCATATCACGCACTTTTTGTCACAAAGGCCAATAAATTCCAACTACTAACCGCTACTTACCTAAACTTATCAACGATTAAGTGACTCCTAGCATTTCGTAGAACACCAATCATTTTAAGCCAAGCTAACAAGCAAACAAAATAATCTGTAGAACATAGTACATTATATTATCAATCTAATATACATAACATATAGATAGTAGATAGATATGTCGACAGTCACGTTTGCACTATCTCGGAACGAAACAATGGAGGTAATCGATGCCGGTTAGATTTGTGCAGGACACGTGATAATCGATGGAGACTGTAACTCGTTGATTATATGGACATACTGTGTTATTTCTAACTGTACCAGTGTGTAGAAGGTTGGTTGTGACTTGAATGACATGATTTATTAGAACGGGTCTACCAATTTTAAGTAAAGTTTTCAAATTATCCACATGTTATTCTTTGCTTGATTAACCAAGGCACTGTTATATCAAATGAGAATGAATTCTCAGTGAGCGCTGCACAAAACTACATTTAAAGTGAATACTATGACTTGGGAGAAAACATGCATAAGAATAGTAGACGACAGTACTTATTTAGTAAAACTCAAAACATGAGTCTACAGTAACCACTACACAAATAACTTAAACTTCCACATAGATACTGAACATTTCATGACAGACCTATCATCATAAACAATTCACGTAAACCAAAAAAGAAAGCAGCTTTAGTTTCAAAATAATTCAACATAAACACGCAATCTAAGAACATGGAGAAACTTCCAATACAAAAATTGATCAAAGCGAAAGAATGACATCACTGGTACACATTTCCAGTCGTTATCTTAGCATATCAGTACTAATCTGATAACAAGTTCCTTAACTGTTTGATAACTATGTTTTCACACAAAGTTGGTCGGTGCGAAATTGGCTCATAATAGACTATAAGTGAACTAAATATAGGAGATAATGTTAAAAATGAATCAGGCTGTTAGAAGTTTTAAATTGGTAAAATAAGGTACGTAATGAAAGATAAAGAAAGGCAAAGAAGAGAAGCAGTTGCTTGAGGCAAAGAATATATTTATTTGTGGACATCTTGTGGTTGATGTGACAACGATGATAAAGAAAATGGACTTTTTGATATGACGTTTGAAACAGAAGAAGACATGTTGTGTGAACACCAGTTTGAAATAAGGGTATGAAGATGTTAATTCTTCCTTAATGATAAACATCTTGTTTAAAGACTAAGCACTTAGATACAAGTCTAAATTTAATCTGCTAATTGATAGCATTAATTAAAATGTAAACTAGATGCGCCTTATTGAGATGTTTATTAATAAAGTGGAAGACATAAATAACATTACCACAAATGATTTATAACAACAAACAATATGTAAAACATTGTTAATTAACATTTAAATAAAATGTACGATATACAATATGATTGTAAGAATTTACGTCAGAAAAATAATAAATAAGAATAGAATTTATTGTAAAACCATATATATCCAAATCAACTTCGAAAAATATAAGATGAAGACAAAAAAATGTACAAAATTATACAACCAACGATGATTTAAACACAGTAAGGATTATTATATCTGACAATACGTTTGAAAAACATACTTATGCAAAAGGAGACTTGAAAGACGCAAGCAATAAATAGCAAGGTGATGTAAATAACTTAAAGACCTTTTCATGGAAATACAAATATTCGGAAGGAAAGGGATAAGTAGATTCCATTGAAAATGTTGAAAGAGTGATTGTGTATACAAACTTAAATATTTTGTAAACAAGTGTTCAATAGCGGTCTTATACCATAGAACCCCTCTATTGTGCCACATAGTTGCAAACAAATCTATTCACCGAACTCCCATTTACCCCATAATTCAGCAAACCATGACGATTAGCCTTGAAAACACAAAAGCCGGACATCGAACCCAGTCATTAGAACTTCAAAAATCATTCACTTTTCGCGTCATTAGTGAGTGGTTAGTCTAAAATCTAGGTCGTTGTAATTTCACAAATGTAGCAAGCGTGACTGTTTAGTTTGTTTGAAGCCTAAGACATTTCAAAATGCAAGATTTTGAACAAACAGAGCTCTAGTTAGAATTAGTCTTTCTTTATCCGTAATTAGTTTGCATAAGAACAGATTAAAATGTCACGATGGCATTTCAATTACGTGTGCCTTCCTCTTGGATACAAAGTTAACGTTAATTTCTGTGCACAATACTTGACAATACAATACATGCATGTCCAACAATGGTTAGCGAAATACGTCAGAGAGAAATATTAAAACGGAACTTCAAGTTAAGTCCAGAATAGATTGCAACTTTCAAAATGTGTCCATGAATTAAAATTTCGATGTCACAGTAAATCTAGGTCGTCGTTAAGAAGGTTGCAATTGGTCTTCGTGTAACCAAAATGAAAGTTCGAAAGACAATGTAATTTTGAAGGTTTTATGCTGATAAGATTCATATTTATGTTTTTGGAAGTAATTTTGTGTAAAACTACATAGTTCCCAACTTGCGCCGTACAAACCAATTGTGTTCTGTTGCAACTCCGGATATCAAGGTCCAATTGCCGCCGTTTCACTCAGTCGAAACAAAAACCAGCTCCGAACAACCGGTCGTCTATCAAGCGTGAAAATAATGAGAGAAAAAAAACCTATCGTCTTTATCACACAAATGAAAGTTTATTAAATTTATGATCTAAGTAACTAGGACACTATCTCACATCTTCCATCCTTTCACATCTAAAGCTTTAGTAGAAACAAAAGACACTAATCTGTGTCAATCGTGCTCAGAGTGTATTTACAACTTAATAAATAATAGCCGTAGTACTCGAAATTCTTTTAGAACCTTACAATCACTAGTGAGTCAGTACGACAGACCAGGCCAAAACTAGTTTTAAAGATAAAAGAAAAAGGAAACATGATAAGCAACGACCAAAAAGAGCCTAGACAGATGACAACCTGTTTGGCAACGGAATCTAAACGAAAAAGATCAATATTAAGATTAACACGACGTCTAGACCTAGAATGTAAGAACTTTTTCAATGTCCGATCAAGGTAAGTGACCTTTTCACGGCATTAAATCTTAGCAAAGCCACTATAACACAGGCACTGTAGATCCACGAGTTATTAACCGAATCACCGAAGCGCGACGCAACGGTATCGGGTCGATCCGTGCACAGATAAAAACTCCACCTTATATCACATTAGCCAAACTGAAACTGTTATCAGTTTGAAATAATAAATCACTATCACAAACACATTCCACGTTCATATGTCACATCACTGAGATTTTTATTTTATAAAATAAAACGTGCGATACGTTCGCTCCGCGCGGGTGCCGAGGGGAGACTGAGGTGGCAGTGTGCGCAGGCGCCGCGCCGCTTGGTTATCAGCCTTCGGTGGGGCAAAGGGGGTGCAAGAAAGAAAAGTCAGCACGTGATACCAAAGATAAGACGCTTGAAGTTGTGCATTCGTTGAAGTTTGTTCAGTTTCAGATAGTATGTATACCTAATCACACTCTCACTTCACTTTTGAGTATCCTATCCTCGACTAAGTTGTAGAGATCTTGTATTTTAAAAGAAACAAATATAAAAATTGTGAGAAAGGTGAATTTCAATAATACTTTTTACTTATATATCCTTATTTATAAATAAAACCTTGACTTGATACGACCTTATTTAAAAATTTTGAGAGGTATTCGCAAAATTCGTTGTTGTCTTTTAATTTTTCATTGTATCGGCAGATGGCGTCTGGCCAGGCTTCAGAACCGGCTTTTTGGGAATAGTTTCCGTTGTTTTTTAGGTTGGTTTTAAGAATTGCTTACGTTAGCTTTTTATTTGAGTAGGAATAAGCAAGTGCTTGGCAATTTACCTGACGTCGTTTATATGTCTGGGTAACTTAATACAAACGTTATACATAAAAGAAACACGAAAGTTCAAAGTTTGAACAAACCACCTGGCAGAAATAAATGATGATCAGCTTTAAACTAAGATAAAATCATTGAAGAAGATAACAAACAAGAGATTGAAGAAATGAATGAACATGTATTGGAAGACACAAATCTTATAGACAACACACCTCGTGTCAAATGCAAACACATTTATGAGTCATTTGACATTAAAACGGCTCACGTTGCCCCGAGACGTGTGTTCCACGGAGTTTATGTATTTACGATACTAACATATATTCCACGGGTTAGTATCGCTCGCGTTTATTAAATAACCGGTTGTGACGATGACGGTCGTAAGGGAGGGTAACGTAAGATGTTATTGGTTAAAGATGTTCAAAATATTTATAGTAAGGACGAAATTGTAGCAAAAATAAGAATTGGCTTTATACATACAAAGTTAAGAGTTACATAGTTAAAATGAATCAACAGATTTTGCCACTAAAAGAAAACGGAAAGGGTATAATAGAAGTTACATGATTCCCAGTTAAATTATAAAAGCCTTTGCGAGTAACTCAATTTCAGTAACATTTAAGGAATCCCTTCAACAAACAATACAGAAAGAAACAAACGCCAGGCTTTAGTGAAAAGAATTTAATTGAACTAAAAAGGAATTGAACAACGAGCTAACAGCAGAGATTCCTTTAGCAGCAGATTAATTACAAAACTGCAGTTTCAACAAACGGTCATGAATAGTTTAAAGCGATTTATAGTTGTTTTAGCTGTTACCTGTTGAAAACGGCGTAACCTGCAGAATAGATGAAAATACTTCTCAACTTTTAGCAAACATAGTTGCTAAGTAGATTCAGCTTTGCTAGTTTCAGCGTTTTACAATTTTCCAGCTTGATCGGTGCTGGAATTTTGAATCATACTAACATCATACATTTCAACTAGAGCAACTTTATCAGCAAGTGAATCTTTTGGAAAACATGTTTTCCCATTTGTTTTATCTTTGAAACTAGATTCTACATGAGTTAATTCCTTATTATCATCATCTTAATAACTATCGTCTGCTGCCTTCTAAGACATAATTATTGATGAAGATATATCATCATAATCAGTAGTACTTGTGTTAAAACTGGAAGAACTAAAATTAACTTCATTAAATGCTAAAATCTATATCAGACAAATTAAGTCGAAAACTTATACCTACTTTTACGCAAAACTAGTTTGGGCATGAGTGCAAACGATGACTCAACCGTTGCGCCAGGCACATGTTTAATTTGCATATAAAGCGCCATCTATACCTATAAGTTTAACTAAAATGGTTTTAATGCCATAATCGTTTTGATTGCCTATAGAACGACTTTTAAGGAGATGGTATAAGAAACAAAATCTTAATTAGTAGGTAGATGCTGTTAATTTTGTAATACGATAATAAATATAGATTTTTATTGGTGTCATAAATAGAATCAGTATTTATCGTAAGTCATGATCATTCTGTATGCCAATTACATATTAATACGTCCAGTAGTTTTGGGTGACTGAACAAACATACAAAATTTTAAGCTACGACAGATTATTGAAAAATTATTGTCATTATATTAGATTTTACTAATATCAGACTGGCCACGGACAAAGTATTACTAGGTTTTGGGTACGAAGTCTACAATTGTGCCCGGTATGTGGCAATAGGCTCAAAATTGAGTGTTGTACAGCGGCATTAAGTGCCGAATATGTACTGCAGCCTCCCCCTTTGGGGATAATAGGCTTGATGTTATGTTATATAAGAATTCACTACCTATTGGAAACTCCTACTCTCCAAGGGAAATAAAACTTCTTTATAAAACGAACTACTTGGTTGATAATATTCATAACCTCAAAGGTACAAGTTAACGAGTTTGCAGCCATCTAGTTGGTAGCAATTTGTTGAGGTGGTGAGTCACCTCCGTTAGAGCGTATAATTGTTGATGGTATGCTCCAGTGGCGCTGGAGAAATCAGTTACTGGTGTAACTGGGCAAGACTTCCCATTGGATTAGACATGACCGCTGTGGAGGTATGGAATGGTGAATGATTGCCAAGCTGTTGACATTAAGCAAAGTGACTTCAAAGTTATCCATGTTTAGATTGTACAAAATTGTCTGTATAATAAATGGTTTATAGTTTTGTGTCTTTATTATAGGTCGGTAATGTGGTAGTGACTGCACGGTTGCCGCGGTGGCTGGGAATCGTCTGCCGCGCAACGTGTAGCGGTTTCGATCCCGCACGGAGCAACTCTTTGTGTGATCCACAAATTGTTGTTTCGGGTATAAGCGTAATGTATGTGTGATTGTATGTTTGTAAACGCATCCACGACACGGGAGAGAATCCAAGTGTGTGGCAACGTTTTTAAAGAAAAAAATGCCTTGTTAGTCTCGAATTACCTTGTAACTTGTACATTTATTACTTTACAGCTACATATTAAACTATATATTATAGGCATCATTTTCTTTGTTGTAGTAAATAAATACTTGAGTTTGTTGTTGACAATAATATTGACTCCCAGTACAAACTCCCCATTTCCGAAAACACAGTTGTTGAACAAAACGGTAACAATAAAGTATGGTAGTGTACGGTCGGTCACTCGTACCAGTGACTCATAGCTACTAGAGCGTGCAGCCATTAGCCTGCTCGGGGAACCTCGGACTCTGTCGGTATTGCGAGAAAAGATTCGGTTTTGTACACAAATTGTATGTAGCGGTGCACTATTTATATTTAATTGCTATTTTGAAATGTTTACCAGAATATAGTTTTATGATAATTGAGAAATGAACATTGTTAACCATCATATTCGATTTTATTAATGTACCTATTGATAATAACATTTATAGATTCCCGTATCGACAGGTGTTATTTAAGATTCAACATTACATTACGCAACGAAATTTGAACATACCACAACCTCCATCCCAAAAGTATCCTACAGTCTACACTATACCAAAATAGATAAATGAAATGACAACCCTGTCATTTTGAGTTTGAGTTGATATCTATCTACATGTATATGCTAAACCTGACAAGCACAGGACACACTCAATCGAACGATGAACGTTAAAGAGAACAGTTAGTAGTTGGTAATTGAAAACCGTCTCGTTTCCGCAACGCAAAACAATCGCATGTCGTTTTACATTGCATGTAGTGCTACAGTTATCATTAGCTATCGTATCACGACACTAGTTTCACTTTTTAGTAAAAGAAAGATGGATGATTTTCTGGAAGAAGATAGAAGCAATTTGACCTCTTTTAAATAGTACACTTTGCTGTATATTTTGCTTTGACTTTGGACAAGATAAACTGATTGCTTCCGACCAGCTTATGTGGAAATCATTGGAAAACCCTATGTTCTGTATAAGCAGTGGATATCTTATAGCCAATATGATGATGACAAAACCGATGAAAAAAGTTAAATAAAGGTAAACATAAAAAAATCCAGTGTGCACAGGCACTAAAGTAAATTATCATCAAACTATAATATTACGTATAATAGTAACATATTCAACAGCTGAAGTAAACAAATCTATTTCAAATCAAAAAATACCAAATCTTTTAGACTAAACTTTTTTTTATGGAATAGGAGGCAAACGAGCAGACCGATCACCTGATGGTAAGCGATAAGCGCCGCCCATGGACACCCGCAACACCAGAGGCGTCACAGGTGCGTTGCCGGCCTTT